TAACCACTCTAGAGTTTCGCTGTTTAGTTCGCACCTCTCCCATCGTTATGCAGCCTTCGTCCTTTTGCGAGGGTCGTTCTACACTATGTTCCGATGTTATGAAACGATTCGTGTGTTTGAAAGGTGAAAATGTTACCGTGAATACCTTATCAAGGCAACATAACGTGCAGTGTGCTTTTTGTCGAATTTGGTGCAAATTTATTTGTGGGTGATTTATTGTTTCAAGAGCGCTTTGATTCACATTAGCTTGCAACACGGAGTGGTTTCTAAGCCCCTCTTTATATTTGTACTCCTTTCAGCGCTTCTCCGCACCAGTCCGAGTATCTTAGAATCCCTGTTAATTTTTAGAGATATTTGTAGGGATTTCTATGATCATCCTAGCTCGTTGCACAGAACGATGAGACCGGTGAAAAGGCAAAAGTCATGCATCAGGTGTCATTGGAGCTGGGAACCCGACGTTAGGAACTCATTCATTTCCTTTTCGACATTGCCTCAATGGCTGACGCCTTGCAGTAGTTTGAGATCGGTCCCGACACTTAATGTCGAGCTCTCACAAAGTGTTCGAGCAAGCATCCCAGTTTGTGTCCTTTTTTGATTAATGTTAGGGAAATGGGCACCGTGGACGATGTCACGATGCAGATTCAGGAAGCCTATGGTGTTTTGAGTAATCTCTAATTTACTAGCTTCGAAAATGCTGATCGAAGGACCAGACACGAGTCGCTCGATTAACAACACAATACTCTTTGATGCGCACATTCTGCAAGGCTTCGGTCTGAAGGTGCTACCCTTGCTGGACAGCTTGAAGGTGATCAAAACCAAGTCTCGAATGTTAGATGAATGACTGAAGCTGGATGTAGCCTATTTCCTTATGAAGGCTAGCGGCTCCGACATCAACCATCTTGGTGAGCACTATGAAAAATTAAGAATCAGATTGAGGTCCGTACATTGAGCTTTTTCAATCAATTTAATCGTCACTATCCTAATAGCTACTCTTTTCTGATTATACCGTCAGCCCTTGAATGGGGACTTGGAGAAGTTTGAACACGTCGCGGTCTACCTGTAAATCACTCACGCTCAACGCATTTTATTTATACTCTGGAGGTGATAGACACTTTTTTGAGGGAGGGGGAATCGGATCGTATAAAGGCGCTGGACAATCACATTATACTCCGGCTCTGTGCTCGTCGCACAAATCGGGAAGGCATACTGTGGGTACCCCTCTTCCACTTAAACCCGTTTAAGCAGCTATAATTGCTTATTTGTGCGCCCCTCGTCCTTCTTGCCTGGTAGAGCACAAGGCTTACAAATAGCACCTTTCGATGCGCCTTCGACAGGTTATCAGTTTAGCAAGGGCGCCTATGAAATTAAATCTTGCAATTGTAATCTTTGCTGTTATTATTTTACTAAAAACCATTTGGCCCAAATCGAGTGACATAACTTTGCTTGAAGGAAGTTCCTGTTGGATTGCTTCAATGTCAGGTACTGCTCTCCTGTAAATGAGTTATGCGCAGGGACTCTTATACAAAGACAGGCACTTTTTTCCCAGACAATTTTTCTCAGAGATTAAGGAATCGCCGTAATGTGTCGTGTCTGTATGTAAATTGAGCTGGCTACATTATCGAAGTGATTTGTTATCATCAATTTAAGAGGAACGCGAAGACGTGCTTCGTGGAGTCAGAGACCGGTGTTGTCGATCCCATTGCTTAGCCAGTGACGTCTGCGGAAATGAGAAGCGACCTTCTGTGCAATGAGTACATTACTATTATCCGCCACCTCTCAAATCAACATTAACTTCAATTTTGAGAGATCGCGATGAATATGAACAAGATTGTAGTCCCTCATGTTGGTACTATTATTACCATTAATAATGAAATTGTCATATTCAGCCAACATTGTCTTCACATTTAGTTGTAGTGCATTCTAACTTGTTCAAATATGTGGTGAATTACCATGTGTCAGTGTTCTACTTAAGATTATTATTCCTTGTCTCCACCATGGAAGTGGCGTTAGGGAAGAGATGAAGTGCTTCTACAATTAGTACCGCCACTTTTATCCGCCGTGTTTGTTATGACAGTAAAGAAATTAAATAGCAAATGGACTATTTAGCTGAAATCATCAGAGGTTTCCTCAAATCAACTTAGAAGGGGCTAATGTTTGGAGTAGAAATACCACAAGTAAATAAGTCAGCTTGAAAAGGTTAAGTAAGGATTTGGTCAACTGACTGCCCTGGCAACACAGTTTGACTTCAACTCACAGCTGTTAATTGTCTAGTCAGATGCATTCCATGAGCGAATGTTCACTATAGCCCAATGACGTTAGGGCCATCGCAGCCCCATTTTCTATCTGCAGCCATGAGATCGTAATGGCATGTATTTAAGATCCGGTTAGGGTGACTGACAGTCAGTTGGTAAAACCTAGAGACAAACGACGACATCGATGCTTAGCGAGCTTCAATTCGTCTCGGCCCCTGACTCTAGCACTGCCTCTAATTTATGCAACGAGAGGGATAGCCAAAAGAACGGTGAATGGAAATCCGTTCTTACCGACAATGCCTTAAGACTAAGGTTAAAGAAGTTGAAAAGAGAAGAAAATGAAAGAAAAACACGTAAGTCATTATTCCACCTCTTCCATCTTTCATCTTCCTTCAGTTTGCCTTTCTTTAATTCTCTCCTTTTCACTTTAGTTTCCATAACTAGATAATAGAATAAAGAGCGGCACTGCTTCGATCTTCCATTCACTTATATTTCTCCAACTAATTATCACCTTTAGACATTAGTTTAAATACACATGACTATGCAGAAAAATTGAATAGGTACTGGAAAGTTAAAGTGAGGTGGAAGTGTAGGTAGGTAGACGTATTTTTTTCGTCTTTTGAAGGTAAAAATTTCTTGCGACTTTTGCAATGCCAAAAATTACACTCGTTTTTAAATGTATGAGAACTTTTCGTTAAGAAGTTGGACTTTAGAGCATTAGGGGAATTGCGTGATTTACATTTTGTAAAGTCCTTCTCGTCGATAAACAACGCATTGAGACCAAACTTATGCACACTAATACTCACTAATAACTCAAGATCACTACGGGCGATACAAATGCACCAGAGTGATGAGCGAAATGGAGCTCCAAGCCTTAGCAATCTTGGCAGTGAGCACTTGCCCACACGCTGTACACATGCTGTGCACATATCGTCTGCACCAGAGATCTCACTATCTGAGAGTCCATCCCTCTATGCCTCTGATTCGTAACTCGCCAGAATCGAGGCTTAACCATCTACACTGTTGCCCACGTCAACGCTTTTCATGAAGGCGTGGTTAACCGCAGCTGTGTGTCTCATCAAACAAAAATTGTTCTGAAACTCCCATCACTTAGTCATTTTGGTAAGGTTCAAATCTATTTGCACCTA